TGGAGAGCGCTCCCGAGCCTGTGAATTGGCGCGGAGCCCTTCTCTCTCTCTCTCTCCCGGCCACACGGCTCCCCCCGCTCCCACTCATCCGCTCCCAGGCTGTGCCTCTCCTCCGCCACTGCGCGGCTCCGTTACCCACAGGGCTCTGCTCAGCAGCCCGGCGCACCGGCCACTTCCGCCGCGGCCATTTTGTTTTTCACCGCTCGCCAAGGGTACCGGCGCCTGGGCTGCGTCCCGCTTGTCAGCATGTTCCCTGCCGGCCACACGGCTCCCCCCGCTCCCACTCATCCGCTCCCAGGCTGTGCCTCTCCTCCGCCACTGCGCGGCTCCGTTACCCACAGGGCTCTGCTCAGCAGCCCGGCGCACCGGCCACTTCCGCCGCGGCCATTTTGTTTTTCACCGCTCGCCAAGGGTACCGGCGCCTGGGCTGCGTCCCGCTTGTCAGCATGTTCCCTGTGGCGAGGGCTGCTCTGAACCTCACCGGTAAGCAAGGAAGAGGCTCCCTGGGGTATGGAAGTGCTGGGGGTGTTTCGCGGCTGTAGGAGGTTTCCTCAGGGGTTTCTCTTCCCTGTGAGGACTGTCCCTGAGCAACCCCTGGGCTCGCTTCGCCCCGGGGCAGGGCCGTGAGGGCAGCTGAGGGGCTGCGGACGGCTGTCTCGTCGCCCTTCCTTTGCTGCCTTTTTTCTTTTCTTTTTTTTTTTCCTGCCTGTTCTGTCTCCTAGTTGCTTTCACTTGAGCTGACCTTGGTTTCCCTTCTTCGGTGCTTTTCCTCCTTGATAGTAACTGAGGCCCATCCCGGTTTTGTAACCGGAGGTGGCTAGGTGTAGTCAGTGACCAGCCTTTAAACACCAGGATGAGGTTATCTCCTCAGTGACAGGCTCCCCGGTGCTTAAACTGTTCCTCTCAAATCTGCTCCTGGTTCCTGATGTGCTTAGCCCGAGGTGCATGCACCTGAACGCCCGTAGCAGTGTTTCCCTCGGTGGATATTCAAGCTGCTTTTTTCTCTTTGCACGCCAGGGATGTGGTAGTGTTATGCGTGTTGCCATCATCTTCTCTAGTCATGTTTGCATAAATGTGAACCTTTGCCCTCAAACTAAAAGGTTATATTTTGTAATGTCTATCTTTATGCACAGATCAGGGTCTCATCAAATGCTTTTTATACAACTGCTGAACAATCTCTGTGTTTTGAAGCTGGTGGTTTGATTCTTCACTCTGTCTTGTCCTTAGTAAGCGTCCCTTTTATAATGCACACTTACAAAGTACGTCATACATGCTGTCATCTGAAGGTATCCTCCTGTATTTCGTTCTCTGTTATTTAGCCTGTGTGAAGGCCCACAGTTATTTCCACTTCCTTCTTCACCTCCCTCCCCTCCCTTCAGAAATCTGGAGGGAATAAGAGATGGGCGTTGCCCATACCCCCATCTTCAACCTCTTAATTTGATGATGAGCTTCATCCTGAAAATGCCTATATTAGGTACACATACTGTCAATGTAGATATTTACATATGGAAATCTGAAACTTTTAAATACTAAACAAAATATTAGTGTACTTGAACTTCCACACTGAGGGCCCAAAGAAAACATATTAATGAAAAAGGTAACTTAGAGGATTTTCTTACTGGAATTAGACTTTAGGAATAACTTTCTACAGAGACATTGGGAGAGCTGAAACAAAACACAAGGCTTTCTGTATGTATTTTTTTATCTCTAAGTCCAAAAGAGTAATTTTTTTTCAGCTTTTCTTGAAGTGTTTTAATGCTTACACTTGCCTCTCTGTTGGTGGGAGATGAGGATTGTGAAAGGATTGAATCTATTTTGGTTGATTTCTGTACTTCTAATTCTCTTTAACATTCATTAGCTCGTGGCATTCAGCGTACTGCAGTAAGACAAGCTCATCGAAAACATGAGCCTGACTTCCATGATAAATACGGAAACCTGGTACTCCTTGGTGGAGCCGCGGTTTTTACTGTTGTCTGGGGCTATGTAAGTTGTCTTTTTTTCACCACTCTTGTGGCTAGCTGTAAACTTGCAAGCTATTAAGTTTCACAAGGGCTTGCTTGTTTGACATAATGTGGTTGGAATTTAACAGGTTTTTGTATAAGTGAATAGTAATGTGATAGAGATGTAAGTTGTGTTAGTTCATATTTTGATCTTGAGTTGTTACACAAATTTCTGTGTCAGTCTTGCTTGATTTTAAAATGTAGTAGAAACACAAGTGTTCTCTATTTCACTTGGGATTTCTGAGCTATGCAGGTAGATGTTTTAGCAGAAAAATTTGTAGATTAAAATAACAGTATGGTGATGGGGCTTCACATTCCAGATTCTTTGTTCGAAAGCTAGATATTTTGAAATAGAAAAATGAAGTATTTAAATGTTATTCAATATAAATATATTCCACTTGCTGTATTAGAAAATTACATTCATCTTCTAATAAAAGAAATCTAAACTGAAAGCAATAGAAATAGCCATCTATCAGAAAGTTTCTTTGATTTCAGAGTTAATAATCTTGATTTTTATCTTCCTCTAGGTGTTGACACAAGCTGGAATTGAGTGGGGCTTGTCACCTGTTGGCAGAATCACTCCAAAAGAATGGAGGGAGTAAGAGCCTTCGCTTGTAATGGACTGGTCTAAACTTTCACTGAAAAAATTATCATGTCGTGACGTTTGTTCCCTGATTACCACTTGTTCAGTGGCATTTGTGGTTAATAAACATACGTAGAAACCTCTCTGGGTCTTCTAGGTTTCCTCTACGCTCTGTGTCTGCTGAAGAAATAGTGTAAACACTCGAAGTAATGAAATCCTATGGTAGGTAGTCCCGGTTGTTCCGGGAAAGGTCACTAGTGGATAACGGACAAATCCAGACGGTTGTCCCTTTAGCCCAGTATGGGTGCTGAAATGAACCGCACCTGCAGAGCTCACATCACTTTACTGCTGACTTCTGCACATCTGATGACAAAGCTGACATCCCATTTTTTCTCACAGGATTATTTTTATGCGTTGAATCTCTGAGGCCTTTGAGCATTGTGAAGCACTCCCGTGAGTTTTCGAGACACTCCACAGAAGTAGTGAGTGTCCCAGCACCGCTGTTCACTGATGCTGAGAGAAATGTGCCTTTTCTAATGAATTCTTGCGTAATCAGAATTTGTTAGGAAATAGAGCAGGGGTACATGCAGCCCCTGACTCAGCGGGACTCCCCGAGCAGCCCCCGGCCGGCTGGAGGATAACGCGCCCCGGCCGCGGGGGCCTGGAGGAGGCGCGAACGATCGCCCGCGGGGTT